TCTATCTATCTATCTATCTATCTATCTATCTATCTATCTATCTATCTATCTATCTATCTATCTATCTATCTATCTGTGTATCTGTGTATCTGTGTGTGTGTGTGTCTCCTAAATTATGTCATGTTATGTAACATGTCAAAAACATATCATTCCAAGTGGTCAACATCTTATGATAAATTAGGCCTGTTAGTAGAATTGGCAGATTGGAAGAACCAATATTGACATATTGGATGAAAAACCCCTTTGATTCATGCATAAGCTCATGTCAAGCCAAGATTAACAGAGCTGTATCGTAACACAACCAATGAATATATGAAAGATTTGGCCTTAAGGATTAAGCTTTGCATGTCTGCATGGTGTACTGGCTCTGAAGTAGTAGCTCAAGCTGATCGCACATCCTGTATTCACAATGCTTGCACATTGCACTAAAGAGGCCATGTCTATTTTATGTGGAAGTAATGTCAAGCTACACAGGGAGAAGGCAGGAAGTTACACAAATAAACAGCAAAGTAAAAAGTTTCTAGTTTCTGTTTCTTTTTTGTAAGTTTATTCTTTTGAAGTTTTCTGCAACTGCAATAAAAAGCAGCCTCTTTGAGTTTATTCCTCTGTCTGAGTGTCCTGCGTTTGGGTCCTCCATCCTGCCTGCCACATAGCACTAACAATGACACATCCTGTGTCATTTTCTTCTATATTCTTCAGGTATTGTCCAGAGGAGCTATTGTCATGCAAGGATTTAAACAGATTAAAGTTAAACATCAGTCAGGTATGTAAAGCATGGTTGAAATCATGAGTTCATCAGATTCTTTTGTAATATTATGTTTTACAAAAGGCCACCCTTTTAAAAAAAGGTTTGGTGATTATTAAAATAAGGCGTATATATTAGCTTTTTTGGTTTTCTTGTTTGTTTCAGTGAATGAAGGGGAAGTGTCTTTTAAATTGAGAATTTCTCCTGACATGACACCAGTCGTCCAGATTGTAGCATATGCTGTACTTCCCCGTAAGATTGTGATCGCCCACAGTGCTGACTTCTCCACTGAGAAATGCTTCAGTCACAAGGTATGTGGTGTTGTAAACTGTGTGCAGCTGTGTTAGTTATATTTATCAGTGTAAGTTTAAAGTGTAGGTTTAAAGCATGCCTTTCATATGAAACTATGACATACAAAAAACAAACTTCCAAGTGGCACAGACTTGTCACTCCAAACAAGGAGGTCACAGCATTTGCCAGCATGGAGTGGGCAGCATGGAGTGGGCAGTGATCATTACACCTGAACTCCAAAAAACACATGGGAGCTAATGAATGGTTTCTGTGTTATACATGCTTGATGTTTTGTTCTTTTAAAACCATTAAAGTTTAGATGGTGTGATGTATGATTTGTGTGTGTCAGGTGTCATTGGAGTTCACGCCTTCTTCAGCTGTCCCAGGAGAAAAAACCAACATGCAGGTGACGGCCCTTCCACACTCTCTGTGTGGTGTGAGTGCCATCGACAAGAGTGTCCTCATAGAGGAGCCTGGGAATATTCTGGATGCAGATAAGGTAACTGTGATCTCAACAACAGTATACATCCTTTACTTTCAGTCTCTTCTAGTGTCATAAGTATCAGACATTATATGAAGGCAACATGGCACTCAGTTTGTGGGGAAGTTCCATAATTGCAAAGATGGGGATTCTCCTGCATCTAAAGAGTCAATTAAGACAGATGAGAATGAGTATGAGGTTCATAACAGTTTAAGCTGTGTCATGGCAGTATCTCTTTTCCTTGCTGTGTAAGCATAGCATCTTTTCAGTTTTCTGGTGTATTGAACCAATGCCTGTATATATAACTTTAAGCATGCATGGTATAAGTTTAAATTTCAGAAGAACAGAAAGTTTTTGAAGCCTTATTTTTAATAAATAACTGTGTTGAGGTGTTTCCAGGTTGCATGGCCTAATTGTAAATGTTGCTTCTAGATTGGTTTTATTGGCCACTCAGAGGTTTTGTTCTCTTCCTTTTTTTTCCTGTTTATTTTCTTCTTTTTATAATACAACTATAAATACAGTTCAAAACTGATTTTGTTATGAAAACGATTTGCATGCGTGTATAACACATATAAAGTACGTTTGGATAATAACATATTGAACGCACATTTTATATACCCAAAATTCAGTTGACACACTGAAATTCAAGTACATAACTGTAATTTTACATGTTTTTCAGAGATGACAATACTAATAATATATTAGCATTAAAAAAAAACTTTGATCAAAGAGCTTGCACATATTGGTGGATTACCAATTACAGAAACATAAGAACATGATTTTGGTAATAAACAATACAGTTTATTTAACACAGTGGTGGTATAAAACTTTGAGTGGTGATGTGATAAATTTTACAGTTTTTCTCAGTCGCTTTGGTGCGTTTCTCAGAACACCATTAACATTTGCACAGCAGTTAGTGCATTTCCCAAAACAATTACCGTAGTGCAAACTGCAAAACCTAGTGGATAGCCTGCAAAAGCACGTCACATGCACAGAATTGATTATCCATACCTCAAAAGCAAGTATCCATGTCAATGAAACTGTCAGTGCCATCAAAA